AGCTAGGATAACCTCGCTGGCACCTGACCAAAATGACCAATGAGGAGACAAGATACTTTCAAAGCTGGAAGGGCGGGGGACAAAGGGTCGGTCTGTGTGATGCTTTTGCCGGGAACAGATCAGGAATGCTCTTCGTAACTCCTTAAGTTAGTAAGTAATCTAGCTAGAAATGTGTTAGATTTCCTTTTGTTTAATGGCTGGTAAAATAGCTGTGCTGAATGGAATGGATATTCCTGTTTTTGTGTTTTTTTGTAACTTAAGGTTTTGCCTAGAGGGATTCTCTATGTTTTGTTTACCCTGATTACCCTGTAAGGTATTTACCATCCTGATTTTACAGAGGTGATTCTTTTACTTTTTCTTTAATTAAAATTCTTCTTTTAAGAACCTGATTGCTTTTTCATTGTTCGTAAGATCCAAGGGTTTGGGTCTGTGTTCACCTATGCAAATTGGTGAGGATTTTTATCAAGCCTTCCCCAGGAAAAGGGGTGTAGGGCTTGGGGGGATATTTTGGGGAAAGACGTCTCCAAGTGGGCTCTTTCACTGTTCTTTGTTGAAACGCTTGGAGGTGGTAGCATAGGGTTCAAGGACAAGGCAAAGTTTGTACCTTGGGAAAGTTTTTAACCTAAGCTGGTAAGAATAAGTTTAGGGGGGTCTTTCATGCAGGTCCCCACATCTGTACCCTAGAGTTCAGAGTGGGGAAGGAACCTTGACAAGGAATTACAAAGGTTCTCAAAGCAGCCTGTCCCAGCTGAGCACACGACTCTCCACCCGCAGGAGCTGCCTGTTCCCTCAGCCTGGCCAGGTCACAGGCAGGAGCAGCTACTGAGTCCCACGCCACATCCTGCCCCAGCTGCCATTCCCCCTTGGGTGCTCAGGAAGCAGGGCGGACTGGGGAACAGCAGATTTCCCTTTTGGGCCTCCTCCTCACCCAGAACATGTTGGGCTCAGCTGAGAATCTGGCCACTTAAAAAGGGAGGGACTCCTGGCAATGTGGCTTGGCAGTTCTTTGTGTTGCCCTTACACACAGCTCTGAGAGCAAGCTCCCCGCACCTGGGCTTTGCTCTAACACAACTGTAAAAGGGGTAGCCACGGGCTTCTGGCAGCTTGTGCCCATCACACTATCCATATTGATGCAAATATGCAGTGTCCTGCTCTGTGGTAAAGGAAGCTGGCAGGGTTGGTCAGTAAGTTTGTACTGAGCCAGTGCCTGACCATGGGAGGCTGGTGCTCCTGGAGGTGCCATGTCCTGAATGAAGTGTAAGCCATGACCTTTCGTGGCCATCTGATGATCCCAGGACATTTTTTTTGTAACAGCTAAAGTCCTGGTGCCTGACCCAATTCCAGCTGGGTAACTCCAGCTTGTCTCTCTAAATTCTCTATGGCACTTGTTCACCTGTCCTAAATTCTTACGTTGCATTGCTGTTAATGTTGCTGTCCTCCAAACCGGAGGTGGCTTCAGCTCAGCAGCAGGTCAAGTGATCCTTGTTTGTAGCTGAGCTTGAAAAGTACATTGGGATCCTTTGGGCTGAGAGACGCTCATTCTTATTCCTGGACTTGACCTGAATGCTCATACCTTTCAGACAGCCACCTTGGTCCTTATCTTCTCAGAGCACCAGTAGGGTCAGGAAGCACACATATGACACTTGTTGATGGGCACTTGAGCACTGCTCTGAGAATTGTCACAGGAGTGATGAAGTCAGCACCTACAGTCTGGCTCCCCACCTTGTGCATACTTTCATAGAATCATAGAATATCAGGGTTGGAAGGGACCTCAGGAAGCCATCTAGTCCAAACCCCTGCTCAAAGCAGGACCAATCCCCGACTAAATCATCCCAGCCAGGGCTTTGTCAAGCCTGACCTTAAAAACCTCTAAGGAAGAAGATTCCACCACCTCCCTAGATAACTCATTCCTGTGCTTCACCACCCTCCTAGTGAAAAAGTTTTTCCTAATATCCAACCTAAATCTCTCCCACTGCAACTTGAGACTATTACTCCTTGTTCTGTCATCTGCTACTACTGAGAACAGCCTAGATCCATCCTCTTTGGAACCCCCTTTCAGGTAGTTGAAAGCAGCTATCAAATCCCCCCTCATTCTTCTCTTCTGCAGACTAAATACTTTACCACCATCCCTCCGAAGACAAGCAGCAATAATATGAGAATATGACCGTATGATGTCATAACCACACAGCTAAGGGTAGCCTAGAATTCCTCCTTACCTGTAAGGGGTTAAGAAGCTCAAATAACCTGGTTGGCACCTGACCAAAAGGACCAATGGGGAAAGAAGATACTTTCAAATCTTGGGGGAGGGGTGGAGGGAAGGCTTTGTTTTTGTGTGTTCTCTTGGGAAGCAGAGAAGCATCAGGTCAGAAAACTCCTTCTTCTATAAACCATCCTAAAAGTCTCTCATATTACAAAAATTGTAAGTAAAAGCCAGGCAAGTCGTGTGAGATTATCTGTTGTTCTGCTTGTGAATTTTTCCTTTGCTGGAGGGAAGTTTATTCCTATTCTTTGTAACTTTGAAACCAAGCCTAGAGGAAGTTCTGCTGTGTTTTTGAATCTTTTGTTACCCTGTAAAGTTATTTTCCATCCTGATTTTACAGAGGTGATTTTTACCTTTTTTTTAAAATAAAATCCTTCTTTTAAGAACCCGACTGATTTCTCTATTGTCCTAAGACCCAGGGGTTTGGGTCTGTGATCACTTTGTAACCAATTGGTTAGGATATTATTCTCAAGCCTCTCAAGGAAAGGGGGTGTAAGGGATTGGGGGCGATATTTTAGGGGAATAGGAACTCCAACTGTTCCTTTCCCTGATCCTTTGTTAAATCAGTTGTTGGTGGTAGCATACCCTACAAGGACAAAAGGAATTTTTGCCTTGGGGAAGTTTTAACCTAAGCTGGTAGAAATAAGCTTAGGGGGTCTTTAAAGCGGGTCCCACATCTGTACTCTAGAGTTCAGAGTGGGGAGGGAACCCTGACATATGATAACCTGGACTTACCCATCTATGAAAATGCCACCTTAAGTACTTCTTAAGTACACCTTAAACCCCTTCTGATTAGCTCTTAAAACCTTGGGATTGTCACCAAAAGACAAGTGGCAGAGGCTGTGGGCAAATAGCAGGTTCAAGAATCAAGACCTGATCACGAATCCTACAGCCCAATCACTTGGGTTCACCGTGGCACATAAGACCCAGGACTTCCCACAGGCACTGCAAATACCTACTACACAAATGGAATATGGACCTGTGGAACATCTAGTGACTGCTGGGAATTGGAGCTGTGGTTGGGTGTTGGAAAAAGGATTGGGAGGGCCTCAGCTAGCTCGGGGTGACATACTGGTAATGCTGGACACTTGCACTAAGTGTGCATGCTTCCCCAGTTGAGTCCCATGTGAGACACAGGTGCACTGTCCATTCACACAGGCAGTTTTTTGGCAGAGGGTCAAACCAGCAGAAAGGAGTTGGGCTGTGCATTCAGGTGCCACAAGGAACCTAAAGAAAACTGACAATAGCCATTTCTGAGCTAGCCCAGAACCAGCCGAGCCTCTCCCACATGTGTAGTCACATTTCTCAGAGGCCCCTAGACTGTTCCAGGGTGATACTGCTGGGGCCAGAATAACGGGAGCTCTGTCCCTCTGGAAGGGCAGATCTCACTTACAATAGGGGGTGAAGTATCATGGCTTCCCGAGGCCCATGAGAAAGAACCATGGAGCTTTGGAAAAGGGCAAAGTTCAGATCCTTGCAGCAAGAGAACTGGCTGGCACATCTGGAGTCAGACAGAGGGGGGCTGAGTGCCTGTTTCACACCAAGGAGGACGCAAAATGCTCATGGATTTAAGAGCACAACTGTAAGAGTGCACAGCAGAATCTGTATAGACAGCCCTGACACAACAGGAGGATCACGCTAGCTGAGGAGAGACCTTGCCAAAGGGAAGGCCCGCATGAGGAATTTGCATCCTGTCCTGAAAAGGACTCCATGCTCTAGGGTCAGGGTTTCTCAAACTTCATTGCACTGCGACCCCCTTCTGACAATAAAAATTACTACATGACTCTGGGAAGGGGAACCAAAGCCTGAGCAGCACTGCCCCAGGCGGGGGACAGGGGGAGAGAGCCAAAGCCCTGCCACTCCGAGAGGGGGTGGGGGTGGGTGGGTGGTAGGGGGACAAAGCTGAAGCTTGAGGGCTTCGGGGGACTGTAACCTGAGCCCAACTGCCTAGGGCTGAAGCCAAAGCCTGAGCCCCGCCACCCAGGGCTGAAGCAAGTCTTTGGCTCCCAGACTTTGGCTTCAGGCCCAGGCCCCAGCAAGTCTAACACTAGCCCTGGAGACCCCATTAAAATGGGGTTGTGACCCAGTTTGAGAACTGCTGCTCTAGGTACTATAACCCAACAGGATGTGCTGCTGCAGGAGGCTGACAATCAAATATAGCAGCAATAGTGGGTAAAAAAAAAGCTCAACAGAGTTTCTTGTGTTGTTTTACTGGCAAGTCAGGCTGGTTCCCGGTTCCAACTGTTGTGGACATTACAATGTAGGGAATTTGTAGACCCTATCAACTGAAAAAAGGTGACCCCCTCCCCCAACCCTCTAACCACAGCCATTGAAACTAGTGGTAGATTACTTACAGACACATTAGTAGCAATCAAACCTTCAGGGCATAACCCTAGCTACTCTCCCTTCCTTCCCCCAGCTAGTATTACACAGAGTTACAAAACTTGGGTTTTCCCCCTTCTTCTGCAGCATCAAGTCCTGGGTTTTCAAACTGGTAAGAACTAGACATGCCAGTTGGTCTCCTCTGCTGTGGCCGTTCGGGTACTCTCCAGTCCTGCCTCAGAGGAGAGAATTCCATTGGAAAGATTTGGCCTATTCAGAATAGAGAGTAGAACCTAAGTGCTAAAGCTTCATTCAAGTCCTGGAGGAGACCAGAATTCAACTGCTTTCCTTGCTCCATCAGTGGAGAATTTCTCTGCTTTTCATTCTCTCATTTCAGAAATGGAAATAGATATAAAAACAAAGTTAAAAATGATTTTATTTCCTCTTGTTACAAACACAGATGGACTCATTTATGAGCCTGAAATAAAGTTTTTTTGTTTTGCATACGGTGATCCCACATATCATTTAAAGGCGAAATCAGAGCAGCCTCATTCCCTATCCCCCAAACAGGATTTTATTCTGAGGGTCCAAAAATAATCTGGTAAGAATAACCCTGCTGCATCCATTTTACAAACTTTCCAGGATGTGCTTCACAGTCCGTGACCTGCTGGGCCGCCTTTGCTGGCTTCAGTCAGGCCCCCTGAGTGCTGAGGTCTTTCTGGGGAGTCAATTGCAGGACTGGGTCTATGAATTTAGGGCTGGATTTGAAGCTTTAGGAAGTGCATGGGAGCTCAGCGTGTGAAGAGCCTGCTGTATCAGGCTCATGTCTTAATTACTGCCTTTCCAAGATAGAGAGTCCCAAATCTGGTCACTGTTGGGGATGGTGCTAGGGTGTCATGGGGTGAGTCGGCACAAAGCAGCTCTACCAGAGCTAGCAAGGGGGCAGCACTACTTTAGACAAGGCACACGCATTTTTACTATGGTGTGGCCTGCTCCCTGGTCAGCAAGGGATACACAAACGGAATCCCTGATGCTCCCAGCTGGCTCTAGTCCATGGGGACTAGGACCTCTGCAGCTCTCATTCGAATACATGCTTCCCACAGTTGTTTAAAAGTGTTTTGCAAAATGTAATTGAAATTAAAACAACACATCAAGTAAAACAGTTCTTAGGGTGATTTAAATATTTCCCTGCTATGACAGAAATACAGACATCAGCACTGTGCTGGAAATGGGAGCCAGAAAGTGACACTGATATGAAAGTGAACAGCAGGATTCAAAACAGTGATGAGGGCTATATAAATAAGAACCTGAATAGATTTGCTTTCACCATCTAAAGTGAGTGAAGGGAAAATAGAAAAACAGAGCATCAGGATGAAAAGGATGATTAAAGGAAGTTCACTTCAATAATCCGAGGTATCAGTAACCCAGGGAAGGTGTGTTCTTAAGCAAGATGATGCTATTTTTATCTTGGCTGTCCCTTCAAATAGAAACAAACTACTCAAGATTGAGGTGCCTAAATTAATGAGTTGACCTCTGCAATTTAACCTGTGCAATCAACCCTTAAGGACTCTAGATTGGCTTCCAGTGTTCTTGCTGTCCTCTCTAGCACCACTTATTTTCACAATGAGATTTGCAGTTCAAGTGTGGAAGCCATGCAGATGAGCTTAACAGAAAATTTAATGGTTAAAATACTTAAATATCACCAGAGTCTAGTACAATCCTTCGAAACTCACACATCTTTAATCACAGGTTTCATCACACTTGCCAAGGGCCGGATCCCTTCAACGATCTGCGGTGTAAGAATGCTGGTAAAGGAAGGTTAATATAACTGCAAAGTAAATGCTTTTAACCAGATGTTCCTCATGGATTGTTACAGCATCCACCCTCAGCTGGTACGTCTGCAGACACCATTGTAAGCACTGGTGCAAAATACATGAGTACAAGGACTGGAACGAGGTGTCTGTGCCCCTTCCCCTCTCAGAAGGTAAACATTGGCAGCCACTGTCCTTGAAGGGGATGTCACTGAGTGGTTTTACTGAGCAGTTACAGGAATCTTGTGGCTAAATCCCCTTCAACCTGTGCAGAAAACGTATCCCTGAAAGTCAGCACCATTAGTCCTAAAATGTACAGTGCCATCAGCTGGGAAGTTTGAATGTGCTCTCTCAAGCATTCACAGAAAGCCACAGCAAACTTGCAAAATCCTACTTTGTAAAAGTAACCCCTGCCCCACCCCACTGCCCTGTCTCCTGTCATATCCCATTAGTTAGTGTGCCTGGAGGCTACCACCTTGGCTCTCCTGCCAGAGCTCAAACAGCCAGCGGGTACAAGGTCTAATGGCTAGTGTAAGCCACATCTTACAGTCACTAACATTCCAGGTACTCTTATTTGTAAATCAATGGACTAGGGTGATCAGATGAAACGGACAAAATATTGGGACACATGGGGGAAGCAAAAAAAAAAAAAAAAAAAGGCGTCCAGAGTGAGTTACCGAAGCAAAAAACCAAAAAAACCAAACTGCTGGAGCAGCCAAAGCCTCAATATCGGGACAAATGGGCTTTGGTCGGGACGCGGGACAAAGAACTAAAAATCAGGATGTCTGGTCACCCTACAATGGACTCCCAGTGCCTGCAGGAATTACTCTGGAGCACTGGGAAAATGGCCACTGTGTAGCCAAAGAGAGTGGTTCCCTGCTGTGGAGGTATTCACCTCTGCTGGTAGCTCTGTTTTTTGTAGCTGGTGCCCAGCTCCCCACCAATTTTTAGAGGGGCATTTCTCTGCCCTGCTCTCATTCAGCTGTCTGGCCTGTAACTTAGAATCACAGAATATCAGGGTTGGAAGGGACCTCAGGAGGTCATCTAGTCCAACCCCCTGCTCAAAGCAGGACTAATCCCCAATTTTTTTTTTTTGCCCCAAATGGCCCCCTCAAGGATTGAACTCACAACCCTGGGTTTAGCAGGCCAATGCTCAAACCACTGAGCTATCCTTCCCCCCAAATGCAGCAATGCAGCTTGGGCTACTCAAAGGCATTGGTCCCATGCTCCATCACAAACTAGGGGACAGACAAGTGAAAGGGACCCCATGAGATTGGAGAACCACTAGCATAAAATGAACATTCCATAACAGAAAGTACAAGAAATAGCTCAGCTGATTTCTTCTTGCTAGATTTGCCTAACTTGGATCAGAGCCAAGCTGCTCAGACATGGCATTTAAAAAATAAAAATCTCGTATTGCCTAAAATACATTGTAGTGACTCTAAACACACACAGGAGCTGGCAGGGATACTGCCTCCATAGTACAGTTGCCAACTTTCACGTGGTAAATAAGCACCCCGACTTTCACAATAAGACAAAAATCAAGCTAATCCCATTTCAAAACCAGGCCAAAACAAGCCAATCCCTAAGAACCCCAACACTCTATGTGACTAGATCCCCCGGCATGCAGTCTGGGACTGTGGTGAGCCCGCTGTGCACCCCTGACTCTCTCCCCCCCTTGCCCCTGCTTGCTGGGAGCTGATCAAAAAAAAAGAAGCAACAAGCTATAACAAGCAGCAAGTTACAAGCCAAACAAGCAACAAGCTACTAGCCAAAAACTAGTGAACAAGCAACTCACAAGCCAATTAAGTCAAAAACAAGCCCAATTTCTGTGGTTTTTTTTTCATGGGTCTGGCATGTCTGCTCCATGGGAGCCCCATCCAGTTCTGTTCTAGACAAGCCCCATGTTGTAGCAGCAGCTAGGTGACAGACAGGACCTTTCCATGGGGAGCTAGGGCCATTCATGTCTGATCTCATGATTCATACCATGACAGATGATGCGGCAGGTCTGGCAAGTCAAAGGTGCACCACAAGGTGCAGGTGAGGAAGTGCGCTGGCTCTTTAAAAAGCCACTGTGAACCAACATGCTCTGCTCACTCAGGGCACAAAGGAAGGTTTGTTGTTAAAACATTTTGTGTATTTTTCCCCAAATCTCCCTTTTAAGGAAGCGTCTGGTGTTTTTTTCCACAGATATTAAATTGCACATAGCTTGGCTTTCTCCAGGGACCAAATGATCCAAGGATAATGCTGGCTGCTGCGCTAGGAAGGGAACTTAGCATGCCAAGGGGATGAAGCTTTTCTCAATCATGAGAGTGTTTGAAAAATGGTATTCACTTCCCACAAGGAGCTAGCACAAATTTCCCTAGCAAGGAATCAAATGGCAGGAATTCCCTTCTACTGGTGAGAAGAGTGCGTTCGCCTGGAGAGTGAGGAGCTGCTTAGTGTGGTCAGAAACAGACGGTCATATGTGGCATAGGATTCCAGGGCAATACATTCAGACTGAGCAGCCAGAGAGAGTTTGTAGTGGTGACAACTATTAGACTGGAATAATTCCCACCACGTCCTGTGCGCTGCAGGAAGTTAGACTGGGGGAATCCCAACGGTCACTTTAGTCTTAAAATCTAGCCCAAATCCAGTTCCTATTCTTTCTCCATGAGGGCAGTGGCTCTGCAAGCAGCAAAGCTGGTTTGGCTCTGCGGGGGAGGATTCCAGGGGGCCGTGCAGTGTGTGCCTGCTCTGGACAGTGCAGAACTCAGCTTTGCAGCAGTTCCTGCATGGAGTCACCCTTCTTCTTGCCTGTAGGGGGAACCACAGAGGCCAGGCCAGCTGTTCCTTTCTCCCATCCTGGCATAAAGTACAGAGCAGACTGTGAGCAGAATGGTTCACTGTGCACAGTTCCAGACAAAAGCTGCAGCCCTACCTCTGCACAGATACAGGACGTGTCGGTTCTAGGGCACCCCATGTCTCGCTGCCCCCTCCACAGTTAAACTTGCCCTTTCTTCTCCTGCCCTGTTTGCTAACATGCTTGAGTGTAAATAAATAAATACTGCGACTCTGGACTTCTAGCAGAAGTCCTCTAGCAGAAGTCTAGCAGAGCCTCCTTCCACAGAATCCCCAGGTCTCCATAAACAGCAGCTAATCAAACCTCGGCACCCCCTCCTCTGTGAGGTAGGGCAGGGGTTAGCCCCAATTTGCAAATGAGGAAACTGAAATACAGAGGTCAAGGAAGTTATTCCAGATCATACAGCAGGTAGGGCCCTGTCCTCCTGGCCCCAGCCCTGCTTGCTGGCCACCAGGCCATACTGCCACTCCCAGACATCACCACCCTTCTGCCCAGCTTCCTTCACCTGCCTGCCCTGTCCCTGCAGGATGGCTGTTCACTCGCCGTCATTCCCAGGCTGTCGTCAAACACTGCCCTGGGCCATCATGGGATGTATCAGACAGGGGAAGAGGCTGGGCAGGGTGCACCAGGAAGGCTGGGAAGGCAATGAGCAGGGCAGTATCACAGGGTTCTGATAAAGCGTTCCATTTGAGGAGGCGTATCAATGCTGAGCCCTCTGCCGTTCTAGGAGTCCTGGAAAGGCCAGGTTAACTGCAAGTGGTAGGGCCTAGTGCTGGAGCTGGGATCCCCAGCTGTTTAGCTAGTAATAGTGATAGTGGTGAAGGCTGCATTTGTATCACCAAACATTTCTGCCTCCTTGCTGGGGCTCAGGGACTGCAGCTGTGAGGCTTCTGGGAGCTACTGCAGTGATTCCATGAGTGCTCTCATAGGGTGGGCTGTCTCAGGGACGGTGCGAGCAGCACTATAGAAGGGGTTGGTCTGATTCCATTGCTGTTCTCGAAGGTACCGGGGTATGGAGGAGCTTTTAATATGCAGAATCCTGGTGTCCATCACTTCACAGTCTATCTGCATCATCACCTCGTAGTCCTGCCCATTTATGACATTCTCTGCAAAAGGAAAGGGCAGCGTTAGCACCTCAGCAGCATCTCCTTTCTGTTATGTTGGCCTGAAGTTTGGGAAAACCCTTTGAAACCAGGATATAAAGATACTTTCTAAGGCCTTTGGACCCAAAGAGTTTTCATAAACCATGTGCATGCAGCCAGCTCTGGGGTGTGTAAGGCCCGGGGAGTCTTGAATCTGGGCCTGCAGAGCTGTCAGGCAACAGACACCTCCATGCTACCCTCCAGCAGCAGCTATAACCCGCTCATGCTCCACTACCTACACCTGCTGTGGACACAGACCAGGAAGTCCTGCCTCCAGGGGTCCAAGAGACCACAGCTCTGTGGCTCTTGATTGGCTCCCTGCCGTACACAAGCCCAAGGGGATTCCAGGACGTGTCCCGGCAACAGTGGGGATCTCTTGTAGCTCCCATGACCTTCTGGCTTTGATCTTGGCTTGATTTGGACTTTGCCTCCTGATCCCTGACTCAGACTCTGATCCTTGGTATCGAGCCCAGCCTGGAACCTGACTAAGAACTCCTCTGCTAGTCTCAGCCTCCAGTCTGATCCTGCTCTGACTGCCCTTGTCAGGATCCTGACAGGGTTGGGGCATCAGTCACTCAGCACACTGCATGTCGGTGACATGGTAACGAGGGGAAATTTTGGCCAGTGACATTAGGGCATAACCATTCTTCTTACAAAAATGCCATAGAAAGTTGGTCCAATCAAAGATATTCCCTCCCCCACCCTGTCTCACCAATATCCTGAGACCGACATGGCTACAACAGCACTGCAAACAAAACATGTCATGGGCATTTCCATGACCAAGCAGAATAGAAAGGAGCTCAGATAATTAGGGCTCATAATTATCTGAATGGTCACAGGACCTAGGGATCCTCATGGCTGAGAAACCCCCAGCTCTGCAGACAGCCAATCCTATATCGCAACACTGTTCACTCATGGTCTTTAACAGAGATGGAAAGTTTGGGCATTCCTGTCTGGCCTTTTGGGTTGGCCCATTATAGAGAGAGGGACCAGACCCAAAGCCCGGGCCTTGTGGGGCCTGCGCCCAGGGTCCATCTCTAAGGTTTGGGCAGGGCTACAGCTGGATATCTGCTACACACGCTCATTTGCCTTTGGAGACAATAGCATTACTTGAAAAATGTTTTAGCATAAAACTCAGGGACAGGAGGAGAGAACAAGTCACCATTTCAGATGGGATTACAATCCTCTGCCCTGCATCAAACTTGTAGTCAATCACCCTGCCAGCCAGGCTCTGGACCCATGGCACTTCCACTGTCTAGAGAGCCTGTCTGTTTGCAGAGAGGGGCTAGGCTCTGAGCTGGCTGGGGAATAAAATCCGTGGGGTGTTTACTGTCCAGAGTTTAAAGATGGAGGTGGGAGGGGGGGAAAGCACATCTGAGTCATTGAAAACAAAGCCAGTGTCTCTGGGGATCTCTTAGGTTTTTGACTTTGGAGCTAGGTGCTCTAAAGTAGTCAGCTGAGTTTGCTTTCTGTGGCTCAAGATGGAAGATTGTGCAATGGAAAATGTTCAGATCAGAGGCATGAAATACACATTACCAATTTTACTGCTTTCCTGAATTAACTTTGATTCTGGCTGATGGCTCACAATCAGGGCTGCACCATGCCTCATGCCACCTGCAGCAGTCATTACATCAAATATGTCTGGTGCAGTAATGAAAAACAGGAGGCTAAGTCTAAGGGGCTGACGGCCAGTGAGGGAAATGGAAATGCTTGATTTCCCTTGCATTCTGGGTGTGCCGCCCTGTGAGCAGAGCCAGAGCTATCTGTGACTGCCAGGCTGCTGGGAGCTTAGGCTGCTGCTTCAAACACTGGACATAAGAACATAAGAACACAAGAATGGCCATACTGGGTCAGATCAAAGGTCCATCCAGCCCAGTATCCTGTCTACCGACAGTGGCCAATGCCAGGTGCCCTAGAGTGAGTGAACCTAACAGGTTGTCATAAATATAAAGGGAAGGGTAACCACCTTTCTGTATACAGTGCTATAAAATCCCTTCTGGCCAGAGGCAAAATCCTTTCACCTGTAAAGGGTTAAGAAGCTAAGGTAACCTCACTGGCACCTGACCCAAAATGACCAATGAGGGGACAAAATACTTTCAAATAGGTGGGGGGGAGGAGTGGAGTTTTTTGTGTGTCTGTCTGTGTGATACCTTTGCCAGGAACAGATCAAGGATGCAAGCTCTCCAACTCCTGTAAAGTTAGTAAGTAATCTAGCTAGAAAATGCGTTAGATTTTCTTTGTTTTTTGGCTTGTAAATTTGCTGTGCTGGAGGAAATGTGTATTCCTGTTTTTGTGTCTTTTTGTAACAAGGTTTTGCCTAGAGGGATTCTTTATGTTTTGAAGCTGACTGCCTGTAAGATAATCTTCCATTCTGATCTTACAGAGTTGTTCTCTTATCTTCTAATAAAGTTCTGATTTTTAAGAATCTGATTGGGTTTTTTGGGTCTCAAAAATCCAAGGGGTTTGTGCTAATCTTGTTTATTCTCAAGCCTCCCCAGGAAACGGGGTGTAAGGGTTTGGCCAATATTTTGGGGAAACAGGAACTACAAGTGGTCCTTTCCCTGTTCTTTGTCTAAAACACTTGGTGGTGGCAGCACTTTACCTAATCCAAGGGCAAAGACTTTGTGCCTTGGGGAAGTTTTAATCTAAGCTGGTAGAAATAAGCTTAGGGGGTCTTTCATGCAGGTTCCCACATCCGTACCCCAGAGTTCAGCGTGGGGAGGGAACCTTGACACAGGTAATGATCAAGCGATCTCTCTCCTGTCATCCATCTCCACTCTCTGACAAACAGAGGGACACCATTCCTTGCCCATCCTGGCTAATAGCCATTAATGGACTTAACCTCCATGAATTTATCCAGTTCTCTTTTAAACCGTGTTATAGTCCTAGCCTTCACAACCTCCTCAGCCAAGGAGTTCCACACGTTGACTGTGTGCTGAGTGAAGAACTTCCTTTTATTTGTTTTAAACCTGCTACCCATTAATTTCATTTGGTGGTCCCTTGTTCTTATATTATGGGAACAAGTAAATAACTTTTCCTTATTCACTTTCTCCACACCACTCATGATTTTATATACCTCTATCATATCCCCCCTTAGTCTCCTCTTTTCCAAGTTGAAAAGTCCTAGCCTCTTTAATCTCTCCTAGAATCACAGAATCATAGAATATCAGGGTTGGAAGGGACCTCAGGAGGTCATCTAGTCCAACCCCCTGCTCAAAGTAGGACCAATCCCCAACTAAATCATCCCAGACAGGGCTTTGTCAAGCCTGACCTTAAAAATATCTAAGGAAGGAGATTCCACCACCTCCCTAGGTAACTCATTTGAGTGTTTCACCACCCTCCTAGTGAAAAAGTTTTTCCTAATATCCAACTTAAACCTCCCCCACTGCAACTTGAGACCATTACTCCTTGTTCTGTCATCTGCTACCACTGAGAACAGTCTAGATCCATCCTCTTTGGAACCCCCTTTCAGGTAGTTGAAAGCAGCTATCAAATCCCCCCTCATTCTTCTCTTCCGTAGACTAAACATCCCCAGTTCCCTCAGCCTCTCCTCATAACTCATGTGTTCCAGCCCCCTAATCATTTTTGTTGCCCTCCGCTGGACTCTTTCCAATTTTTCCACATCCTTCTTGTAGTGTGGGGCCCAAAACTGGACACAGTACTCCAGATGAGGCCTCACCAATGTCGAATAGAAAGGAACGATCACGTCCCTCGATCTGCTGGCAATGCCCCTACATATACATCCCAAAATGCCATTGGCCTTCTTGGCAACAAGGGCACACTGTTGACTCATATCCAGCTTCTCGTCCACTGTAACCCCTAGGTCCTTTTCTGCAGAACTGCTGCCGAGCCATTCGGTCCCTACTCTGTAGCGGTGCATGGGATTCTTCCGTCCTAAGTGCAGGACTCTGCACTTGTCCTTGTTGAACCTCATCAGATTTCTTTTGGCCCAATCCTCTAATTTGTCTAGGGCCCTCTGTATCCTATCCCTACCCTCCAGCATATCTACCTTTCCTCCCAGTTTAGTGTCATCTGCAAACTTGCTGAGGGTGCAATCCACACCATCCTCCAGATCATTTATGAAGATATTGAATAAAACTGGCCCCAGGACCAACCCTTGGGGCACTCCATTTGATACCAGCTGACAACTAGACATGGAGCCATTGATCACCACCCGTTGAGCCCGACAACCTAGCCAACTTTCTATCCACCGTATAGTCCACTCATCCAGCCCATACTTCTTTAACTTGCTGGCAAGAATACTGTGGGAGACCGTGTCAAAAGCTTTGCTAAAGTCAAGGAACAACACGTCCACTGCTTTCCCCTCATCCACAGAGCCAGTTATCTCGTCATAGAAGGCAATTAGATTAGTCAGGCATGACTTGCCCTTGGTGAATCCATGCTGACTGTTCCTGATCACTTTCCTCTCCTCTAAGTGCTTCAGAATTGATTCCTTGAGGACCTGCTCCATGATTTTTCCAGGGACTGAGGTGTCTTTAAAAAGCGTCCATGCAGTTTGCAGGGATTTCACTCTAGTCACTGTACCTTTTAATTTCTGTTTAACTTACCTCCTCATTTTTGCACAGTTCCCCTTTCTGATATTAAATGCCACAGTGTTGGGCTGTAGAGCTGTTCTTCCCACCACAGGAATGTTAAATGTTATTATATTATGGTCACTATTTCAAAGTGGTCCTGTTATAGTTACCTCTTGGACCAGATCCTGCACTCCACTAAGGACTAGATTGAGAGTAGCCTCTCCTCTTGTGGGTTCCTGTACCAGCTGCTCCAAGAAGCAGTCATTTAAAGTATCAAGAAATGATGTCTCTGCATTTCGTCCTGAGGTGACAAGTACCCAGTCAATATGGGGATAATTGAAATCCTGCACTATTACTGAGTTCTTTATTTTGATAGTCTCTCTAATCTCCCTTAGCATTTCATCGTCACTGTTACTGTCCTGGTCAGGT